GTCCATTTCTACTTGCAAGTAGGCGTCACGCTGGGTGATATTCGTGAAAACGGCCCCTCCATTTAACTTGGTGAAGATGTCCTCAGCAGTGGGCAGTGGATGTCGTGCAGCGTCAATGAGTCGTTCAGTCCGGTGGAGAAGTTGGCACAAATGCGCACTGCTCCATTCTTCTTCTTGACGGGAACGATGGGAGCGGCCCACTGCGAGTAATCAACGGGTGATAGTACTCCTGTGGCGACGAGGCGATCCAACTCTGCGTGAGGAGAGGTTCTACGGCGGACGGTACCTTCCGTTTCGGCACCATAGACGGGTGTGGCATCCTTCTTCAGCACTAGGTGAGCCTTGAACTTGTTAACGTGTCCCAGCTCTTCTTTGAAGACTTCTGGTAACTTAGCCGCGAGGCGGTCGTCCAGTGGTGAAGAGGCATCCACGACACAGCAAACAGCAGAGAAAGCAGTTTGGAAGGGCGGCAGCTGTTGAAGCATGTCCATTCCCAGCAAACTCAGGTCCTTAGTAACATAGAATAATCCTTGGCCATCAAAACCATTGCATGTAACGGCATATCCCGAACTCCAAATACTTCAATCAACGATCCATTTGCAGCTCTCAATTCGGCGGGTGGGGCCTCCAAGGTCGCCGATCCTAACTCTATCCACGTCCTGCGATTGATTGTGGATACGTCGGCACTGGTGTCGAGTTGCATCTTCACATCCACGTCCTTCAGCTTGATATTTACGTATCGACGATGGGAGTTTGGCACGTTTAACTCAACAACTTTTTTTCATGGAACGGCGGACTGGTCGGTTCCTTGACGGGCAGTTGCTGGCCCAATGTCCTTTGTTTTTACAAGTGTAGCACACATCGTTACGGCGGGAAGGTCTAGGCGGATTCTTGCTATCAGATGAGCGTCGGTACGTTGCGACAGTGGTCGACGTTGCTTCTTCTTCCGGATAGGAGCGACGACTTCAGCTTGGACGGGCGCCGGTGCAGATCCAATGAGGGCAGCATCCTTCTGCACGGACTAATACGCGTTGTAGTCCGCGATCAGGTCCTGCAGCTTGTAGCCATCGGATTCCGCGTCCAGCTTGCTCTGTAGTCGAGCACGGATTGGCAAATCGCACTGCGACTGCAGGCCCATGACGAAGAGGAGGCACTTCAGCGGCTCACTTTTCATTCTTCTGCTTTGGCATTGACCTGCATCTTGTTGAGTCAAACTGCATACGATTCCACGTCTTCTGAGGAGTCCTTCACAACGTGAAGACAGTTCCATCAACGTCGAAAAAGCGTCGTCCTTTCGCCAAAAAAGCTCGGCACTTTCGTCAGCTCTTCGAAGGTGAACTCCAGTGGTGATTTCGGGGCCAAATGCCCTCTAAACTTGGCGTGTGCGACGTCATCCAGCTTCGCAGACAGGAGGGTACAGTGGCCTTTTTTTGGCATCGATGCTGGGACAATTTCTTCGAATTTCGATAGCCAGCTCTCGAAGGTGCACCCGCTTTCAGGATCGTAAGTGAAGCACGGCAGACGCGACGAAAGCGCTGAATAATCCGCCATGGTAGGAGCGATTAAATGGTCCATCGGTTTCAGGAGTTGTTCTTTCCGCTCATTGCTCCTGGTTCAACTTCAAGAGAGCCACAGATTGTTCTTGGCTCGACTTCAGGAGTGCAGCAGTTTGCTCTTGGTTCGCCTTCATTTGCTCCTGGTTGGCCTTTAGGAACGCAGCGGACTGATTCTGGCTCGCCTTCAGGAGTGCAGCGTTTTGCTGCATCAGCTGAGCGAACATCTGCTCCAGTGACACGCTCGACTTGGTCGTCATCCTTCCCGAAAAGATATTAGGCTGTTACATAAGTCTTGTTACACTTGAATTCTAACGGCGATAAGTCATGCACCTCACATTCTTTTCAGGGGTCCAGAATATTATTCGATAGAGCAAAGTAAGCTCTACAAGATAGTGCAAAAGTTCGCACTTACTTTGACCCACTGTAACTTTGCATCCAAAATGTGAGTGGCACTGAAGGCTCAGAAATTGCGAAAAATTCATATCTTTGTGCAGAAAAATCCTACGAATCTCCAACTTGCTCATAAAAATTGCACGCTCTATCAAACACTCAGATGTACCGTTGCTGTATTTTTTCCTCATCTAGAAATCGAGAAAACGAAAATTTTTTAGTTTTTACAAAAACGAAGCTATGAAGCTGTTTCTATTCATGTAGCTATAAACTACAAGCCCTTAGAAGTATAACCTAAATTTTCAGCTCTGCAGAAGCCTTAGTTTTCGAAAAATACCGAATTTAGTACTGAACACTTGAGTGAAAGAAGCTAAATCTAATATTTATCGAAAACTAAAACTTTTGGAAAACTGAAAATTTACGGTTATAGTTCTAAGGGCTTGTAGTATACAGCTACATGAATGGGAACAGCATAGCTTCGTTTTTGTAAAAACTAAAAAATTTCTTTCTCTTGATTCCTAGATGAGGAAATAATACAGCAACGGTACATCTGAGTGTTTGATAGTGCGGGCAATCTTTATGAGCAAGTTGGAGATTCGTAGGATTTTTCTAAAAATCCCATTTTCCCAGAAAATCATTGAGCAGCTAAGGATCACGGATTTGGCATTAAGGCCTCAAGAGCAGCAGAATGATATGCATCACGTTTGGAAACCCCACTCCGATGGATGATCCTTTCCTTGTAAGTATCTAAGTATATCAATTTGTAAAAAAAGGCTTACAGGAGAATGATCAGAAGTTGAAGCTGAAGATTCAAACAAGCTGCATACTGTTGGATGCAGCATAGAATGCGTTTCAAACTGTCTTCCGTATCTGCTATTATTCTTTGTAGACGAAATTATGAGCAGTATTTATGGCGAAAAACTTACATATAAAAATCGCTAAATTAAGCACAATACTGCTCTTCCAATGCAGCAATGTGAAATATTAGGTTGTTGCAAAAATAATGTCCGTTTTGAAAAGTTTCACTTTGAAAGGCTATAACTTCGTTCAATCTTCATATTTTTGAATGCAATCAAGACCATCAGATGCAGTAAACCTTTCGTAATCTAACGCGCTCCTGCATGTACTGATTTCGCAAACGGGAAGAAAACTATGCGTCAGAAAACCAAAAGTTTTGCTTTTGAAAACCTCGTTTTTGAAAGATTACAAATTCCTTAAAGTTTTGTTGTTATGGCTGCTAATCAGCTTATTTTGTAGATGCAACCCAGTAGTATACGTATGTATAAAAAGAACTTTAACTAAGAAGTTCTGCGAGATAAAAAAGATAGAAATCCAAAATTGTTCACTTTTTCAAGCCCATTTGTGATAGGCTTGGAAGTCCCAAATATGAAAACTTGGAATTCTTCATGCACTGATTAGCTAAGTTTTTCTGCATGAATTGTGAATGAGATGTCCTGATCTTAAGCCTACAGAAATGAGCGAAGTTTCAGCGATTGCCCTAACCAGGAAAAATTTCGAACCCATAAATTTCCAGGCAGCGAGTATCTTCTTTAAAACTCGATTTGTCAGTTCAGGTATATTCGAAAAACTTATTTAAACATGCAATAAGTGAACAATATCTATCTTATGCAGTAGCTATGTTTTCAGAAAATTCTGTTTATTTGTGCCTGAATTGTGGCCAAGAAAGGAGCAATGAAATTTCGATTTTGAGTGCGGCTGTGCAAAATGCTGGTAAAAATCTTACAGATGAGATAAAAGCTTAATTTCACCACCATTAGAAAGTACATGAAGAAAACTTTCCAATGATGTGCAGAATCTGTATCGAAAAAGAAAGCCTGAAGGAGAAAATTTGTTTGGAATACACGCCTAAATAAACGGACATTATTTTTGCAACAACCTAATAATTTAGCTGCATGGTTTGACGCAGCATTGAACCGAACATGACTCAGTATTCCAAAAATGCACTTTGCACCACTATTTTTCTAGCAATGTAACGGCTTATAAAGGCTTATTTCACAATATTGTCAGATAGCAAGGCGGATTTATAGTCATAATAGTCGTTTGCTGCGTCAATGGTATACAGGTTGTTTGGGTTGGCCACTTCGACATCTGTGGCCGTATTCATCAACGAAAGCCGTGGGTTCCGGAACCCACTGGGTTAGTGCTTTTGATGAATATCGATTCTTCCTTGGAGTAGAATCAATATTCATCAAAGGCACTAACCAAGTGGGTTCCGGAACCCACGGGTTTCGTTGATGAATACGGCCACTGATCATTTCTTTCTCAGCACCAGAATAAAATACCTTTACGCAATGTCACAACCATTTCTAAGTCCACAAAAAGAAGGTGATTTGGACTGGATGTGATTTTAAGTAGCGTCAATGGATTACATATGAAAATTTCAGCTTACGCAAGAATGCGCTGTTTTTTATGCTAATGCGTTGGTGTAGCAAACTTCCAAAACATGGTTGAAAAACAAAGGGCTCGGGTTGCCAATGCTCAGAAATGTGGTTCCCACAAAAGGGAGATTTGGACTGGATGTGTTCTGAAGTAGCGTCAAGGCCTTCGTATTCCCCAGCGAGGATGTCCATGCGTGCGGGCCAGTTTGTATAACTACATCGGAGCTTTTACCTTTTGATACTCTAAACCTTAGCTTAACATAAAAAGTTTACACTTCCAAAGAAAGTTAGACTAATTTAATCACTTGTTACAATGATAAAAACGAGGCCCGGATGTGCGTAGCAGGATCCCTGCACGCTGCGCGTACGGTAACGCTCACGCGTAGATGTGTGACTGCACTATGCGGCGCTGGCCTCGTTAAACGCCAGAAAACATACAACCTTGCGATAGCTTGTAGTGAAAGTTTGCTGGAGCAGTTGAGATAAAATGTAAAATTTGGCCAAAACATTTTCAAAAAGTTTACTCTACCGTTCGCGCTAAAACAAGCTGTATGGTCCAGTGCTCAATGCTCAATCAGCAGCGTTTACATGTTCGCTACACCTTAGAACTAGTCTGATGTATTGCAGAGTTTTGCGTAGTTTTACAATGGCAAACCTGTGGCAGTTTGCGTACTTCCTGTGCTTGTCTTTTTTGAAAGAGCACTTGAGCTGTGCTCCAGGAGGTGCCATACAATCCTTCTCAAGTGCACATAATACGTCCCTAAATTAACAGGAATTTCTAAGAAAACTTGCTTGGGTTTCAAAACTAATACCACTTCATTAGCTCGACAGTATCTGCAGTTCTGACCGCGAAAGCGAAAGTAGCAGCATAACAGTAGTTCTTCTTCAGTTCCTCCGTGTTCGTAGGAAGGTAATTGTAAAGCCCTTGAAAGTTGAGTACCTAATTTAGATGTCTGGAAAAATTAGATATTGAGATCAGATTCAAAACTTTCTCAAATTAACGTCGATTTTCCCCCAAAATGCCACCATCCTATTGTCGGACTATGTCTATTGCCATTCAGATGGGTTTTTGTCTTTATTTCCTCTCAATAACTGCTGCTTTGATCATTTTACCAGATGTTTCCGGTCAAAGCTCATGATAATGTTAAATGTGTTTTATCTGTTTTTTCCTCACTCATCCCAATTGTCTTTGGCATAGGGTGTCATTGTTGTACGAGGGGGGGGGGGGTTAAAGTTTCGTTGCGAGGTACAGTCCTCCTATGTGTATCACAACTGTACATGTTACAACCATGCGACTGTGTTTATGATAGATAAATATCACGTCGTTATTGAATGATGTTTGTCTTCATTGATGGCAGCAGCTGAGTAAGGAATTGTTGCGTATTAGTTTTTTCCCAAAAAGTAAATCCTTTTTCTAAATAATCGAAACGTTTTAATTTTACTAGCAGGCTTGAGAAGTTACCAAACAAAGTAATTATTAACCACATCAAAAATCTCTTTCAAAAAACTCCCATGAGTCTCCATCTTGGTCAGCATACAAACAAAATGTACATGGGAGTACCCATACATTTGCAAGATCTTTTCGCTGCTTGAATTTAAGAAAAAATTGATTCGAAAATGCAAAAGTGCCACTTTCTTTGGATTTTTTTCAATGTTAAACTTGGTATTTCTTGATTACTAAAGCACAAATAAAGCCAAAATTTTGTATACTAGCTCAGGCTTGTGGCATACAATCACATTAGAGAGGAGCTGGAGACGGAATTTGCCACTTTTAGGCTACCTTTTCCTTCTCGATTTCTATGCCCAGAAAAACCTTGCAAAGGAATGCTACTATGTAGTCTTCTATTCAGCTGGTTTGGCTGCTGGAAGGCAAAGCTTCGTGACTTAATTAAGGCTAGAAAATTCAGAAAATTCAATTCAATTAACGTTCGCGAAGGAGACGCAGATTGCTCGCACACGCGAGCGGTCGCCTTCCAGCGGCCAATCTCGTTAAATCGAAGAGTATCTTCGTATGACGATATTTGCAGCCTCGCATGATTGTTTTTCGCAAATCCTTTTCAGGTGATAAAAGTTTTGCTTTTGGCTGGTTTACTCTATCGAATCGTACCCTAGTCATCCGAAAAAGCAACAGTTCTTGGAAGAACGGTAACTTTTAAGACAATCAACAGTATAACGTTTCTGAAGCTCTTTTTTAATACCGCTTGGAAGCAGAATCTCTACAGAATAGGAGTTCAATGTCTCATGACAATTCAAGGGCAAGCATTAATGAAATCCGAAAAGCGGAATTGTCTACAAAGTTCTTAAACCGCTCCAGTAGTATTTCCCTTGAGCGACTATTCGCTCAGCGAATTCATCCTGCAAGCTAAAGCACGCATACCGCACTTATGATTAGGTGCTACAGCGACTCTGCCTGAATATCTTTAATTTATCCGCTCCACACGTTTGCCGTACTTTTACTGTCCCAAGAAAAACCTCTTTTTTTGTTTGACAACATCCTTTTTTGACATTTTTGCATTTACCAAACTAATTATCTGAACCCGGCGGGACGATCAACCTCGCAAAATTTACAGTTAGGCATTCTGCCCACGCCGCATTTGATATGCATTGCGCTCTAAGACAGCTCATCTAAGCTGTGTAAAATCTGAATGAAGCGTTTCTTTGGATTGAATGAACTACCAAACGCTACATGTCCGTCGCAGGAAACAACATCGCATGCCCGTTTTTAGAAGTGAGCAGTGTGGAAGACGACATAGAGATTAGTGGATGGTGAGGTTAGTTCTTAAATTAGTTCACTCTTAGTTCGCACCAATCGTTAGCGAAAATTACTTTGTAGACACGCATTCGATTAGGTTTCTAACTATCAATTATTTTTTTATTATACGTATTGAGGTGAGATCCTTTTTGGAATCAATGTAGGAAGCAAAACGCTGTATATTGTACTAATGGAACCCTGGCTGAGTAGAATCACATATATTACTGGATGCACAACAACCAATACCCAAGCAACCGCCTTGGGTGTGCAACAACCACCACCCAGGCAGCCGCTTGCTCAGCCATCCGCCGGAGCTGCTGGTGAAGCCGCTGCAGATGGTACACCGGTGCGGAAGCAGTTCAAGAAATGATGCGATATTCTCACTAACCATATCATTTCATCAGCAAAATTCTTTCAATCAAAGGCAGTGTCCACGCAAAAACTCGATTTTGAGATTTTGTGCTCACCCAGGCCTACTCTATGCTGAATCCAAAAATCAACACTGGAGTGCGCAAAATGACGAAAAAGGGCTTTAACGCAGGTGGGAAATCGCAGGTAGGAGGGGCTGTTCACACTGTAATGTCACTCTCCCAGCTTCAGGAGCGACCTTCTCGATTAGGATTTTATGTCACGCATTTCGCAGTTGGCTGGTGGCGATGTTCGGGCTACTAGCGGAAGCAAGAAGATCGCTCCTGAAGCTGGGAGAGTGACGTCACAATATGGACGGCCCCGCCCACCTGCAATTTCCCTCCTGCATTAAAGCCCTTTTTCGCCGTTTTCGCGCTCTTCTGTGTTGATTTTCGGATTCGGCATAGCGAATAGGCCCAGGTAAGCACAATTTTACAAAATCTACTTTTTGCATGGACACTGCCTTTAAGTGATCTAGAGATAAGCTCACTATAAAGAGTAGGGTTTTTTGAATGTAAATGAATGATAACAATGTTGAGTTTTTTCAGCCAGAACAAGCAAACAATCGCAGAAAATGTTTAGTTCAACCTTCTTTTTGGGATTAAACACCGAAGGCAGACGAGAGACTAAGAAGAAAATGTCGTAGTTATAGAAGTAAGTTAGCGTTAGTCGTTAGCGTTTCTAAACCTGGTGATGGTAAGCGAGCTAAAATCCAAATAGGTCAGATAAGCTGAATAGGTCACTTATCATTAATAATTGCCTGCGCCCTCCCAATTGCACATTTTATAATATTTACTGATATCTCACGCGAATTTGCGGCAAAAAAGGTGGACAAGGAGTTCATTTCTTCACGACGTTTGATATCCTACGATCGCGCTTTTGCGTAACCAAGAAAATTATTAGACACGGCGCTATACAGATGTTTTGGATGTAGAAACAAGACAAAAAATACGCTTTGCTGTAAGTGAAAAAGCAAAGATGAAAAAATTTGAAAAGCTTAATTCTTTTGAGGTTTCTGAAGATTTGTTCATTATGATTTCTGTCAGCTGAGTCAGAATTGATACCTCTATTTAGACAAAAAGCTGACTTATCACGTATAAGGTTTTGAGATATCTTGAACTATTTTGTGTCTCTATTTTATTGAAGAATTTGTTGGAGTTTTCAAATGAATGAAAACGATTCGAGATTGAAAAGAACCATCCCTGACGATCGCTTTGACGACAATACTTTCCAAACTTCGAAGTGCTTACGAAAAATTTGGTAAATTAACGTAACTGCAAGTGAAGAAAAATTTTTGTCCGACTCAAAAACTACTTGTTTTTCTTAATCGCTTTTGTATTAGGTTGTCCAAAACGTTTTGTCAGTTTCTTTTCATCGCTCAATACAGCCCACAGAACACTAGTCTATGGATGATCTAGGTATCACTTGATTTAAATTTTTGTTCTCTTTTTTACAGCTATAATTGCTCTCTGGACTCTGTATTTGCGATGTTATCGCCATGGCTTTTTGAGCAGCATAAGAGAAACGTCAAATATTTCCTAAATTTTAAAAAATTTTATCCTCATATTTCTAAAGAGCGCTGGTAACTATTATGTAGAGCAAACCTTTGGCTACGTTGTATTTTTTTAGATTACATGGGTCACGTTTATAAAGTCCTAAATAATTATTTATTTGAAAAAAAAATAACCACGGCTTTTCATCACGTCTACCGCGTAAATTTACCAAGGATTCCAAAAAGCTGATTTTTCAGAACAAACTAACCTTGCTAATGTTGCGTAAATAATTTTGATTAGCAATCAAGTTTCAATTTGCAGAATACTCGAAAACTTTCATGTTTTTGTTGGAGTTGCGTGTTCCATGACTTTGCCAAAAACTGAGACTTCCAAAAAATAATTTTTCAAAGCTAAAAACAGCAGGTTAAAAGATTCTAAAAATACTGCTATATAGTCCAAAAATTGTTCTAAATGTGCAATACTTAATCCTTTTCGGAACTTTGGAATGAAGTTTTCAAAAATTAGCCTAACTTTGAGTAGGCGTAAATGTTGAGTGAAGAATTGTGGCAATTATCAAAAAGGCATACAGAATTATGGCTCGAAATGCAGATATAAGAAAGAGAAGGAAAAGATGCATCGAATGCATTGTTCAAACTCATTCAGGTATAATTTAGTGTACTATTCCATACTTTGTAACAAATCACTACAAATTTGCCGTTAATGATACAGGCTCGAAGATAGTTTGGGAAACTTCTTGGCAGCAGGTTGCACAATTATTGTACCACCTGTCTTGGGGCCGGTGTTGGTGTCGGAGCAGGCGCCTGCTTGGGGGCTATTTGCACACCTTTCATTTGTCTTCTACAAACCTTTCGCCAAAATTACTTTTCGCAAGAAACTCAATTTTGGATAAGAGCTTGTCAAGCATTGGTATGTAGCCAACGATCAGCAAACCTTGCGGAAATCTGTTGCTTGAAACGCTGCATTTCCTCCAAAATCGGTAGTGTCAATATGCAAGTATTTCGCAGTAGACTTTATCGATTTAAGGTTTTCCCGAAGACTCACGAAACCTCCCAAAGCTCATAACATGGCGTTTTGAGTTGCTTCTCCCTCTACACCTAATGTACGTAAAAAAAACCGGTCCTTGCTTTGAAGCCTTTGCCAAAAATATTTATTTGTCATAGTTTTAGAAGTTGACTGTGGCATCATGAATGCGTTTGCTCAGTCATCGCTAATATCTTCATTGCAACAAAGAAAAATTTTTGGGTTTAAGC